CTCTCTCTCTCTCTCTCTCTCTCTCTCTCTCTCTCTCTCTGTCTCTGTCTCTCTCTGTCTCTTTCTTCCTTTGCTGCCTTTGCTGTTCACACTGGAGAAATCCGGCTGTCATACTGTCAGGCAGCCCTGCAGAGACACTCACAGGAAGAACCAATGCCTCTTGCTAACAGCCATATTAGGACACCATCTTGGAAGTCTATCACCCAGTCCAGCAAGTGTTCAGATGATAACAGCCCCAGCCAACTGCTTGACTGCAACCTCATGAGCCTCCCTGAGCCAGAACCACCCAGCCAGGCTGTCCTTAGACTCCTGACCTTCAAAAGCTGTGGGAGACAATAGGAACTTGTTGCTTAAAGCTGCCAAGTTTGAAGTCACTTTCTGTGTAACAGTAAATAACACAAGGGGCCCTGTCTTAATCTCACAGTGCTGTTACCTTTTGAATCTTGTGCTGCCCATGAATCTCACTTTGTTATTATTGTATGTATGTATGCCTGATGTCATGTGCAGGGGCTCATGTACCATAGTGCACATGTGGAGTCAGAGGACAACTTTGTAGAGTTGGTTCTTTCCTTCCACCTTTACATTATTCCAAGGAAATTGAACTCAGGTCACCAGGATTGCACAGCAGGCACCTTTACTTTACTGAGCCATCTTGCTAGCCCCAATGTTTATTATTGTTAATGTTAACTGTTTAAAAATAATTTATAAAATATAATCTATTAGTATTCCTATTCAATGAGACCCATTATCTCACAGAGGAAATCACTTTGTATCTCTCTTCTTATCAGTCTCTGGCAAGTATTCAATCACTATATTGACTGGGCACCACAGAATCAAGCAGAAATTCCCTCAACAAGTAATTACTGTTGAATGATACTATTCAAGGAGCTAAGACCTTCGTCTGCACATTACACTTGTACAATCTCCTTGGCTATTTGACTATTTTATTTCTATGAAATCAGGTTCTCAGTCTTCCTCATATTTATGATTTGATTTCTGCTATAATACCTAATAGATGAAAGATAGATAAATAGATAGATAGATAGATATATAGATAGACAGATAGATGATAGAAAGTTGAAACTGAAATACAAATATGGTCATTAATATCCTTAATGAGTTTTCAATATACTTAAATTACAGAACATAATTTATGAGGACAGTAGTGTGGGAATGTATTCTGATGCTCATTCATTTGACAACTCTTTTTTGGCACCTACTAGGCATTGGACATATGACTGTAAACATGAGAGACAGTCTTTGGTCTGAACATGGGCCACCACCTTCATCACTACCTTGATTTCTACTACCAACATCTTTTGCTTAGGCTATTAGGCTAATCCATCACTCTAATCCTAGCTGGCCTCTCCATTCCCACTTTTCTCCCTGTAATAAAATCTTGGCTGTGTCCAAAGGGATCCCATGAAACCTGTGTCAGCATATTACTCCTTTTCTCTAACAATGATAATGGCTGCCCACTTGTAGGGGTGGCAGACATGGCCACTAGTCTTTCAATTATACCTATCAAAAGGTGGACTGTATTCCTCAGCCTACCAAATTAAGGCTGGCCTTGTGACTTTCTTTGACTAATAGAACATGGTAGATAGAACACTGAGCTAGTTCTGAGCATGGGTTTAGGAGGTTCCAAACACTTCTATTCTTGATCCTGGAACCTTTACCTGCCAAGCAAACAAGCCAGATACCATACACTATTGCTAGGAGTGGAGTGGCGGTGGGGGGGGGGGGTTTTTTTTTGAACGACACTGAGAGAACCATTGCAGGAAAAGCCTCTCCAGACCAGTCAATTACCAACTAGCTGAGAAACCCAGATGAGATCAGAGTTAACCCAGCCTTCTGGAACCTTCTGGATGACCTACAGACTCAGAAGCTAAAAGCATGTTTGTTGTTCTTGGTTTGTTAGACAACAGGAGCTTACTGACACACCATCTCATTCAGACAAAGAGTCAAACTTTTTAAATTAACTGTATCCTAGAGCTTAGAGTATATTGCTTGGCTCATGGTAGGTGCTCAAGGAACACATTGAAATAATTAAGAAACTGATAAATGGAATTAGCATTCAATGAATGAAACAAGAAGAAAACAAGTAAGCAGCAAAATAATTACTGACTGTGGTAAGTGCTATGTCGGAATCATGCAATTGCTGAGGTAGAGAAAGAGAGGAAGGGACAATGGATCCATGGCTGGTTCCCCATTTACTTATTTTTTGTATTTTATCTATTTTTTTTTAATTTTTGTGCATGAATGTTTTGCCTGCATGTATATGAGTGCACCATGGGTGTGCAGTGCCCACAGAGGCCAGAAGAGGGCATCAGATCCCCTGAAACTGGAGTTAACAGATGGTTGTTATCTGCCATGTGGGTGCTGGGAACCAAACCTGGGTCCTCCAGAAGAACAGCAAGCACTCTTAAGCACTCTGAGTCATCTCTCCAGCCCCCCACCCCCACCATTTACTTTAGAATAAAGCAAAACTTCTTCCAAGAGACTCCCAAGACCCTCAAGGACCTTGCTTGCCCACTCCCTTACCTTGCTGGCCTTGTCTTTTGCCACTTTCAGGACCTCTGATCCACTGATACTGGACCCCCTGATGCTCTCACCTCAGGTCTGTGCTGATGTCCCTACTTGGAATGTTCCCTTAGATATCCTTCCCACATCCCACCCTTCTTCAGGTTCCTCCTCAGGTGTGACCCCTTCATCAAGCCCTTTCTGACTGGCCTACAGAAATAGTCACCACTGGAATTCTCTAATTCCTTACCCTGCATTATAAACAAGTAAGTTAACATATAATACATCAGATGTATGTATTAGTATGGGGTGCGGGGGCACTGCACAACATGAATGCACTTATATACTGCATATTATACCCTCTGATGTATTATAGTTAACTCATTTGCTTATTGTCTGCTTCTGACACCAAAATGAAAACAAGGGAAGGGGTTTTTATTTCAGTTAATTTGCCCTTAGAACAATATTGTCTTACAGCAGAAATTTACTCAGTGAATATCAAAATGCATTAGGGGCCATAATATCGTGTCAATCCTTGGATTAAGCAAGGTGAGCATTTGGCTTTGAGCCATACTTGGAAATGACATGACCTTTTTTAAATAGCCAGAATTAGGGCTGGAGAGATGGCTCAGTGGTTAATAGCACTGGCTGCTCTTGCAGAGGACCTGGATTTAGTTCCCAGCACCCACATGGTGGTTAACCAATATCTGTAACTCCAGTTCCAGGGGATCTGATGCCTTCTTCTGGGGTCCAGGGGCACTGCACAACATGAATGCACTTACATTCTTACAGGCAAGACACTTATACACATAAAATAAAAATAAATAGATAAAAATTAAAATTTTAAATAAACAAGTAAATAGCCAGAATGCCCAGGTGAGAATTGGATTGTTCACTAAAACTACAATTATGCTCATGTCAAGGTTGGCAATATTATTGCTCCAAGTATGGCCACCTTGTAGCATGCCTCACACTGTGTGGAGATGTTCTAATTTGTGTTGTTATCCATTCTTTCCAACAGCTTGGAGAGGTAGGCAGGGCAGGCTTTTTAAAAAATATATTTTATTTATTATTTTTATGTGTATGAGTGTATTGCAATGCCTGCAGAGGTCAGAAGAGGGTGTTGGATTCCCCTGAAACTGGAGTTACAGGCAGTTGTTAGCTGCCATCTGGGTGCTGGGAACTGAACCCAGGTCCACTGCGAGAGTAGCTAGTGCTCTTAACCACTGACCCATCTATCTCTCCAGCCACACAGACAGGGCAAGTTTTAGTCTCTTCTATTTACAGATGAAGATGAGAGTCACAGAGCTCAAGTGAGTTATCCAAGAGCAGAGGCCTACAAAGTGGGAGAGCTAGAATTCACATCAGAGGGCTTGGGGATGTAACTCAGTTAGTAGGGTGTCTGCCTAGCATGCGCAAAACCCTGGGTTCAATCCTCAACATCAAATAAACCAGGTGTGGTGGTGCATGCCTGTAATCCTAGCACTTGGGAGGTGGAGGCAGGAGGAGCAGGGGTTTAAAGACATCTTTGGCTATATATTGAATTTGAGGACAGCCTGGGGGAAAAAAAAGAAGACAGAGAAGAGGAGGAAGAAGAAGAGGAGGAGGAGGAGGAGGAGGGGAAGAGGGAGGAGAAGGAGGAGGAGGAAGAGATTGAAGAAGAAAAGAAAAGAAAAAAGATAAGAAAAGAAAAGAAAAGAAAAAAGAAAAGAAAAGAAAAGAAAAGAAAAGAAAAGAAAAAAGGATTTTCACCTGGCTGGTCTGATTCCAAGACCAGAACTTCTCACTATTTTCTACTCTTTCTCCATGCTGGGCTCTGCCCTGGTGCCTTTGACTCCTAAAAGTTCAAGGCCAACTTTGAGCTCCTGAAGGACTCTCTCCACAGAAATGCATCATTTCTTTAGGGAGAGTGTGAGTGCCCATGCTAAGAGGCACAGGTGATGACAGACTTCTCAGCATCCATTCCACAGACTTGCTGCGGCTTTCAGATGTCCCCAACCTCTTGCTTGACAATCTAGAAAAGACAGTGTTCTGAGGTCCCTTTGTCCCCAAACCACCTGAAGCCAGCTCATAAATAAACGAGGAAAACTCAGTGCAAAACAGGATGGGTAGCTGCTTTGAGGTGAAAACCAGAAAGAAATTCCAGCTTTATTTTGTTTTAAAAATCAAGTCGTGTGACAATGGAAACTCTTTCCCGGTTGTCCTCCCCTCTCTACCATGTTGACAGAAGATGGGCTTGCTAATTCTGGCTGGGGATTTTCCCTGCTGGCTGTTTTTTTCTTTTATCTTCATCAATTGAAGAGAGTTTGCTCTACCTTTCAAACTGCCGGAAGACACTGGGGTTTGTGTATTTTTTTTCTTTCACCTAATTCTGTGGTCTTTTCCCAGATATGTATTTTCTCTCTAACTACCTTCTAACTTGTTGAAGTTTCCGCCCATGTGACTTCCAGCTTGAATTACCAGAAACCACAAGAGAGAGCGCGCGCGCAAGCCCCAAACTGAGCGAGATGTCCCTGTGGGGAGCAGTACCTCTGCACCCCAGAGCGAGGAGGACACAGGGGTCGGAGGTGGCTGCTACACAGGCAGGGGAGGCACCTGTGGAAGGTGGAGGGCTGGTGGCCCCCAAGCAGTCAGGAAGGGAGGCCAGTTGGTGACAAGATCGCCTCTCGGGCCCTGTGGGAGAGCCCGGAAGATCTCAGCCATGCCTCACAGCTCGGACAGCAGCGACTCAAGCTTCAGCCGCTCTCCTCCCCCTGGCAAGCAGGTAGCCTGGCCTCACCCCAGCCTTCTAATTCTCCCTGGGTGGTAGAAGAGGGGCAGGCTCCCTGGTGCTGCCCAGGGAGCTGTGGCAGGAAGGAAGTGGCTCTGTCTCGCGTGGCAGGAGCTCTCTGTCACACTCTGGACATGGCATTTGCTGCAAAGAGATGCAAGGGGCAGAGCCCTCATCGTGCCACCATGGTGCCATCCAGCCCCTCTTCCTCTCTTCCTCAGTGAAGTTCCTCCAGGAGGGTGACTATCACAGAACTAAGAGGAAAGGTTTGTGCCCCTCTAAGGCAGAAACAAAGTCAGCAGAGGGGTGTTCCGATAGGCTGCTGGCACCCCAAAATCTTAGAGATGTAGTTTTCCACAAAGAGCCTAGGGCTAGACAGAACCCGAGGTCAGGGAAGAGAAAAAAAAAAAAAGATAAACTAAAGTAAGGTAGACAGGAGGAAAAGGATGGCTGACAGACTGCCACTTGTCACTAGGACAGCCAGTGAGGAGGGAGATTAGAGCCTCAGCCTGTATTTCTTTCCCTCTCCAGACTTGGTGGCATTCACAAGTGGCTCATCTTAGCTCTGGGAAACCAGGAGATGGAGAGAGGGATTCTGGGAGCCTTAGAGTCTAGATTGACTTCCAAGCTAAAAGTTCTCAGGTTAAGAGATGCCCCAAATAGGGTACCCTCCCAACCTCATAGCTTCTGGGGCTCTTTACCGTATTCTTGACATTCTTGGCTCTAGAAAGTCCTCCTGCTCTTCCTCTTCCTCCTCCTCCTCTTCCTCCAACTTATAGCCATGAATTAAAATAATCTGGCCCTCTGTGGCTTAAAAATCGCATTTTTTTCTTTAGCACATGTTCCAGGGGGCTTGTAAAATGCTGCAACCAAAATAAAATGACATGAGCCTCTGCCATAGCATCTATCACAAGCCCCTAACCAAAACGCAGCAGTTACAATGCTGGTGAAGACCTCTAGAAGGAAATGGCCAGTCCCGGCTCAAGATAGTATCAGAGCAGCTCAGACTGGCTCAGGCTGCCTGGAAGTCCATACCATACTCTTCTTAAGAAGGAAATTACTCACGGCTTCCATGGTAACCCAGTCCCCCACCCCCTTAGAGGAAGTGTGCATCCTTGCTCTCTCTAACTCAATAACCTCCTGTTAGAATGACCTAGAAGTTCTGGATAAAATGGGGAGGGGTATCAGAACCTCCTGGTCTGCAGGCAGGGGTAAGGGGGTGGAGATGGGAACAGGGTAGGAGTTGCAGAAGGGTTTTTTCTGGGCATCTTCACTGACCTGCATGCAGCATCAGAGGCAAACCTAAACCTATCATCTACTGCTCTTCTATAAGATGCAATTAGAGAGCATCCAAAGGTCCTCTTGTCATCCCAGGCTCCAATCACTGGTTCACTAAAGCAGTTGACTTCCACCTTAATTCATGACTTTCTTTCGTAGCAGTTATGGTGCTCGGGGCTGGAAGGTCTCAAGATGGCTGAGCATAATGAAGGGAATAAAGAAAAGGAAAGACAGATCTAGGGAGGGTGTAGAGCAACGAGACTGCTGGTGGTGAGGGAGTTCTCAGAAAGGCTTCAGAGTCAGCACCATAAGATGCTCCACTCTGAATGGCCATGAGGTCAGGGGCCAGCGCTGACAGCCTCGGCTTCCTCCTGTGTAATATGGAAATGATAACACCCACTGCACAGAATTGGGAAATTGGATCATAGAGTCTCTGAAAGAACTTGCCCAGAAGTTTGCAAGTTTGGAAAGAAAACAGCAAAAAAGAACATCAAGGAAGTTCTAGCCCTGAAGGGGGTAGGGAGGAGCAGCCCTGGAGAGAGCAGAGGTGATAAAATACACTTCATTGCCTTGACTAGTGATGCCCCAAACAGCCCTTTTGAGGTCTCAAGATCTCTTGCCCTCTTCCTGTAGCTTTTGACCAAAAAAGGCCATGGAAGAACTAAGGATAAAACATAGGAATGAGAAAGAACACTCCTTTGGGTGCAGGATTTTGGTAATGGGGGTGGATGATGCATAGGAACGGAACACCAGGAGGGAGAGAAGGAACTGGAAGGGAGGGAGGGATGGAGGGAGGGACGGAGGGAGAAAAAAAGGAAGAAGGGAAGAGAAGGGAAGGGAAGGGAAGGGAAGGGAAGGGAAGGGAAGGGAAGGGAAGGAGGGACGGAACGGAAGGTCACCAAATGCCACAAGAGCATGTTTTAACTTAGAAGAGAGGAACAGATCCACCTAGTTATTGCCATCACTGTTTCCTAGGATTCATCGGATGATGTGAGAAAAGTTCAGAGACGAGAGAAGAATCGCATTGCCGCCCAGAAGAGTCGACAGAGGCAAACACAGAAAGCCGACACTCTGCACCTGGTGAGTGTCCAGACTTTTCATCATCCTCTTTGGCCTTGGGCTTTGCCTCTCACACTGGTGTTGCTGTGAAATCCAGCTTTGACTCTGCCAAAACATAGCTATATGTACATGGGGAGAGTAAGTGGAGGGCAAGGGCTGCAGGGGCAGGTGGGGAGGGAAGGCTCCTTCTCCTGTGCATGTGTTGAAAATATTCAGTAACAGAGAACAAGGCCAGGAGACTGAACAGAGAAATGAACCTTTCTAACCCAAGAGGGTGCAAGGGATGGATGAGTTGGATGTTGGAAGCCCCAAGTCTGGATGGAAGGTGAAACCTCTGAGCGGATGCTTAGAGAAAGGCAGCAGAGAGAGCTTCATCCTCCCTGAACCACTATGCGTAGAAGGCACGACTGATGCTGGCAGGAATTTAAATGTTAAGTGCTTTTCAGGAGCACACATTCATCCCTTCAGAAGGCAGCTGGGCTGCCACCCAAATGTCCCTGCATTTGGGAGAAGGGAGTGGACAGGATGCTGTATTTACCTTTTTCCTGATCATCATGAAAGATCAATGTTGACATTTCCATTGATCATGGTGTCTCTAGGGCCTATGAAAGATGCAGTTTCAATGTACTTATCTGGGACAGTCATCATCTAGGTTGAGTGGCCATTAGCCCCCAAACTCTTCTAGAAGGACAGAACTGAGCTGCAGCTCCACTGGAGGCCTGGGCCAAGGCCAGTGTTCCCGAGTCATGGCTATGTGCATCATAACACAGTGTTCCTCCTCAACACCAACCTCACTACCTTTCTACCTGTCCCTCAGCACCCCTCACTGGGTTCTTGTTCAGTCTTGCTTCATTACACCCTTCTGCTTCCATCCCCTCCTGCATTCCTTCAGCAGCTCCATCTTCCTGCCCTTCCTTCTAAAATAGTCTCATATCTCTGATATTCTAGAAATTTCCTTCAGTGGTAAGAGTGGAATGAGCACCCAAAACAAATAAGCTTGTAATTCTATGAATGTTTAGCATGGCAAGTGACTGGTTTAACTGTACTGGGAATAAGTAATTTGGGGATAGGGAGATGGCTCAGTAGTTAAAGCACTTGTTAGGCAAACATGAGATCCAGAGCACAGATCCCCAGAACTCATGTAAAGGTCAGGTAGGCATGGCAGCCTATCCTATAATCCCAGTTCATGGAAGGTGGAGACGGAATTCGCAGAGCAAGCTGACTAAACTAGACTAGCCAAAATGGCAAGCTTCAAATTCAGCAAGAGACCCTGCCTTAGTCTATACAGTGGAGAAGGCAGGAGATGAGGGTTGAATCTGGGAGGAGTTGGGTGAGGAGTGGGGAGAAAATATGATCAAAATGCATTCTATGAAATTCTCAGAGAATAAAATATTATAGATAGGTAGGGAGGTAGGTAGAGGTAGGTAGATAGATAGATATAGATAGATAGATGATAGATAGATACATAGATAGATAGATACATAGATAGATAGATACATAGATAAATAGATAGATGATAGATAACCTGACGTCAACCTCGGGCCTCCACATGCACACTGCACGCATGCACACACACACACACACACACACACACATGCAGGTGCACCTGCACATATATGTGCATCCATACACAAGCAAATACACATATATGCATGCTCACCACACACATACATATGCAAAAAATAATAGTAAATAAGTAAAGCCAGGCGTGGTAGTGCACTTCTTTAATCCCAGCACTTGAGAGGCAGAGGCAGGTGGATTTCTGTGAGTTCAAGGCCAGCCTTGTCTACATAGTGAGTTCCAGGCCAGCTGGGGTTACAGGGAGACCCTGTCTCACACACACACACACACACACACACGAATAAGCAATATGTAGTTTTAGGAGACAAAAACAAAGTCACTTCTTTTAGCTTTAAGGAAACCAGGACAAGCAGTTCTAACCGCTCTGATGGTTTTGCTTGCTAGGTACTTGATATATTATCCATTGCATGCTAACATAATTTTCAGTAGACAAATATGTGTTAAACAGAAAAAAATGAATAATGAGCAGTCAGTCACAACTGTGACCAACAGTCTGAATGTTAAGCTGCTGCCCGTTACTAACATACGTCTGTGATTTCCTTGTGGCTCAAGATCTCGCAACACAGTTTCACTATTTTAAGCTCATGTTCTCTGCCTGAGTCTGATTCTTAATGTTCTTTAGAGCAAGCAAACAAATTTTAAACTAGGATAAAATCCTCTTTTTTTAAATTCTGAGCAGACAAACTCCTACAAGCTTTATAAGTTTGTAATATTAAAAGAAAAAGAAATGGAAAGTGAGCTAAGCTTAACCTCTCTGCGGCCAGAAGGGCCAGGCTTGACTCCCAGCCCTGCCACTTACTGTCTATATGACTGAGTCCAGAGACATGTTCCATGATCCTTGGACCCGGGGTCCTTATCTGTAGAATGGGAAATGACAGGAACTGCTTATAGAAATAGTGCAGTTAAAAAGTTCAGCATGGTGCCTGGCATAAAATAAATACTCAAAAGGTTCAAGAACAGTAAAAATTATAACAATAGTTATTAGTATAAGAAGCAAGAAGCCAGGCGTAGTGGAACATGCCTTTAGTCCCAGCACTTGGGAGGCAGAGGCAGGTGGATCTCTGTGAGTTCAAGGCCAGCCTGGTCTACATAGTGAGTTCTAGGGAGTTCCAGGCCAGCCTGGGGCTACAGGGAAACCCTGTCCCAAAAAGACCAAAAAAAAAAAAAAAAAAAAAAAAAAAAAAAGCAAGAAAACCCTGGGCATGGTGGTACATGGCCTTTAATTCCAGTACTGTGGGAGACAGAGGCAGGTGAATCTCTGTGAATTTGAGGTCAGCCTGGTTTATATAATGAGTTCTAGGCCAATCAGGGCTACATAGTGAGACCCTGTCTCAAAAAACTAAAACCAGAACAAAACAAAATAAGAGAATAAAATGAAATTGTCCCTCTTCACAGACTAAGACCAGGTTATAATGTAATGAATAGGATACGTAGACCTGGGCAAGAAAACAAGTTGATTTGCATACACATCAAGTTGAAAGAAGGAAGGAAGGAAGGAAGGAAGGAAGGAAGGAAGGAAGGAAGAAGAGGAGGAGGAGGAGGAGGAGGAAGAGAAGCCAATCAAAACTGAGATTGAACATGTACATATATGTGATATATATGTACATATATACACTTTTATATAAAAAAGTATGCACGTATACTTTTTACTTATATGTATATATGTGCATATATATTATATGTATGTGTGTATGCTTCCCCACATAGAATCCCAGCGATGAGAGACTTTTTAAAGACTTTAAAGCTCAGACACATATTTAATGCCTGAGAATCATCTGCATCATCCTGGCTAAAGGTCCCCAGTGCATACCTGATTACTTCTAGTGACAGAGAGTGCTCTCTCCCTTCTAACACAGAAGCAGAGTCCTCCCTGTCTCAACTACAGGCTGCCTCCCTGTAAATTCAGCCCTTTGATCTCTGTCCAACCCCTCAAGGGAGGATGGATGGACTGGCATAGCTCTAACTCAGTTGTCAGAATCAATTGGTACTGGTTGCAACTGCATTTGAGTACCATCTGATGCTTGCGGGTCCATGGAGTCCCCCAGTCATGGAGTCAGTGTGTCCACATCCCCAGCCTTGTTCCATTCAATGCTCCCATTATTTTCCCAGAATGTCAACTCCTTCCCACTCCTTTCTTTTGAGCACTGCATTTGTTTTCACTTTTTGCCCAGTGAGCAGATCACAGAGGCTACACCTTGAGCTTATGGATCGCTGTCAATATAATTTAATGTTTCTTAGCTTTGGGTGAAGCTTTGAAACGCAGAATCATTAAACAGAGTTTGGCTGTGGTTTGAACTCACTCTGTGTTTCCTCTTAGTCAACAATCACCCTTCTCCATCACTTACCCTCTTCATTACAGTTGTGGTTCAGGTAGAAAAGCTCTGCTTTACCTCCAGTGAGTTCAGTTTCAAGATTCCGTTTGCCCTTGATTCCTTTCCTTACTTGCTTCTACATGCTGAAGTTCAGGAACCCCCTCCTAGCCAAAGGACTCATCCACCAAGAACGTTCGGGAGCTGCTGAGAGTACATTATGAAGTGAGGCCCACATTAGGGTTCATCATAGGGTGCTATCCTAATATATATTGGAATTACAGTCTTCTTAATTTGGACTGTTGGTACTGTTATTTCCCTTAAAGTTCCCAGTGACCTAGTTTCTCCAATGAGAGTGTGAGATGCTTGCCATTTAGCATTTCGAATATATATCTTTCTTTTATTTTGTAAAAGAAGCATTTCATTATGGCTTTAATGTACTCAATAACAATTTCCAGAGCAAAGACACATCTCTTTCAAAAGTGGCAATAAAATTTTAGGTTCACAGTTGAATACAGTTGTACAATATTGAACTCATATAAACCCTGTAAGACATAAAATTGAAGGAGTTTTTAACCTTAAAAAAAAAGATCTCTATTCACTTTTTAAAATACAGTTTCTTGGTTGGGGATTTAGCTCAGTGGTAGAGCGCTTGTCTAACAAGCGCAAGGCCCTGGGTTCAGTCCTCAGCTCTGAAAAAAAAAAAAAAGACAAAATAAAATACAGTTTCTTACATAAAGACTCATTGTTTTTGCTAATAACACTTAGATGTTGGCACATGCATCCCTAATCTGTATGTATCTGATTATTACTAGTCATGATCAGTCGCACTCGGATCCTTGGCACCCGTGTGTGGATATAAAATCATCAGGTAGATTTCAATGGTAATGTTTATCACCTCTACTAATTAACATGATGTAAATTTTTATGCTTCCTCCTCAAATATAACTCATTTTTAAAATTTGTTAAATTTTTTATGTGTATATCACACAGAACATCCCAAACAATCTTATTCATCTATATACCCACTTGAATATATATCTTTACATCAAGCACTGTGCTTGCTATGTGGATTGCTTTCAAATTGACGGAGGAGGGAAGGAGCCTCTTGTGACAACCATTGTCACAATG